TGATGGATGTTTTTGCATGCTGGGAATAATGGTGAAATGATGATCAGTCTGTCAGGGCTAATCTCGGTATTACCTCTCTTTGGCATTCTCCGTTATCGGTGCTGCCTGGGGTATCTTCCTCACCGGTTCCTCATTGGTTGGTGCTGCTGTTCGTGCTCCTAGGATTAAGTAATATATGGGGATCTTGAGGTCGAGCATGCAGTAATGTTTTCACTTGACTCTATTGCAGGTCTAAGAATCTTGTGTCCATTATCTTCTGTGAGGCTGTCGCTATCTATGGTGTTATTATGAGTATCATCATGAATTCCAAGATGGAGGGTGCTAGAGAATTCGTTCCCCCGGCCATCCCCACTGGTAAGTCCCTGCCATTTTCCATTACTACATCGTCATTGTCTAACAGGTAACATGGCTGTTGCCCAGGCTGCTGGATACTGCCTCTTCGCATGCGGTCTCTCTGTTGGTTTCTCAAACCTCTTCTGTGGTGTCTGTGTCGGTGTCTCTGGTTCCGGCTGTGCTCTTGGTGATGCTCAGAAGCCTGAGTTGTTCGTCAAGATGCTCGTTGTTGAGATCTTCGGCAGTGCCCTCGGACTGTTCGGTATCATTGTTGGTATCATCCAGGCTGGTCAGGGAACCTTCCCTAAGGACATCACTCCCCAGATCCCCATGTAAAGAAGGAGCATCCTCATGATGATGATGGTGATGCTCGTTACTGATAAAGCAGAAGTGGCCTGAGTGGTTGTCTTCGACCCGTTGCTGATAGTCTCAATAGTTGTTAAGACTCGTGGCATATTCAGTTGTGAAGTCCTTAAAGGCTTCCAGTAGTTAGTGGCTGCTGCTCTTCCGTGCATCGAATCGGTTCTTGTTTAACAGCGTCATCATACCATTCTCGGCAATGCAAATCAATAAGGGTTGTCGGCGCCACTGTCCCTAGTTTTTGAGGCGTCACCACTCTTGATGAGAGTAGTACCATTACAGTTGCTAAATGCTCTAGCGAGCCGGTCTGCCCTAGTGCTAGTTGATGGTTTAGCAATCGTCTGCACTGATAGCAGCATCCACTCCTTCAGCTGGCGTGAATGATTCTTCGTCCCACGACTGTTGTGTTTACGAGTTGTGAATAGGATTGTGGAACAGAGGGATCTTCTTGTCACTGATGGAAGACGTTCATCTTTATAGAGCATCGTTGAATATGGTGGTAGTAAAGTTAAGTACCATTCCTTGCCCTCCTCACGATGCTGTAGGTATTGGCATTGTGCTCAATTTGATTATACTACCACTTCAGCAGTAAGCGTTGTCCAGTTGTGAGGAATAGTACTCGTGCTGTGACGCTAGAGTTTACCAGTCACTTGGTGGTAGCTGAAGTTCAGCTGCTGAACCCGGCATCCTCTTGATATTGAATTTAGTTCCCATTGAGTATAGGAACTCAATCAGTCTGCTATTTTAATAGTTGGTTACTTCCCTATGTCAACTTTCACAGGAGATGGCAAGTACGTAGCAGATGGCGGTGCTTATCTGCAGAAACTCTGGGAAAGCCATAAATGGAAAGAGATCAAGAACTGTCCTGGTCGCTATGTATCACCCCGTAACAAACGACTCTCTACTCTAACCCCGACGGAGGTCCTCGATAGTCTCGTGGACTTCGTCAATTGGACACCTAAGTCATTGAAGACTGTCGTTGGTCGCGTTGGATCTCGTCTTATATTTAGAGGAGCTCATATTGCAGCTAATGCGGAGAGGGATAGTTGCTGGTTTTTCACATTCTGTGATGGTGGTGGACTGATTACCTACGAGAAGGCCGATGGTATCTTCGTTCACACGTTGAACACTCAGTCGGGTTTGATGAGGAAGGTGAATGCGGTGGCACCTATCGAGCTTTCTGCAGCACTTCAACTGGGGGCGGTAGAAAAGATGGTACTCCATATATTATCGTTCCTTGACGACACATCTCAGAATGCTGGAGCATATCCGTTAGTGTTGACGACTAGAAAGTTTCTGAATTACTTATGTTAGCGAACGAGGGTCAAGCTCGGTCAATGAGAAGCCAAGGATGTGGGGTAGATTACGTCGCGATTAGTATATCGACTCAAGCAAGGCTCATCGATTGGGAGGGGTAACCATTTGTGTGGAAAGAATGAGGAATAATTTTATTCATAGAAAAAATGGGGAAGAATTTTGTTTATAAGAAAGAAATGGAATTAGACGAAAGACAACCATCATAACGACAACCGTCAGACGATCTGCTGAAATGTCCTTCCCGCGTTGACTCAGCGCCGTTGAGGGAACTCGAAGTAGGGGTAGAAGTTTTACGCCTGGAATCCTGGTAACCAGGACCTGGTTCCGGCCCTGGACTCCAGCGAAGGTCCAATCCTTGAAAGTCTCCTTCCCTGTAATGTCCCCCCAACTAAGCCCGCAACATGCTCGAACAGTTGCAGCTTAGTTGTTTCCCACTCACCCACACCATAATGGTGACGATAACCTTTGGTGTTTAGTTGAGTGAGGAGTTAGGGTATTTGGGCTGGATACTCGGAGCTTATCCAAACGAAGCTATTGTTGGGGATACAAGATCTGTAGCTCTTTGTGATTTCTCGAGATAAGCTAATCACAAATATCCCCAACCCGAGTATCTAGCAGCGCTGAAAAACAGACTTCTTCGTATAAGAGATGGTGATCAAATACGTGCATTCTCTAAACATCCCAAATCTATAAGAAGTCTGCATTGCGCCTCCCCCGCAACCTTATAACGGGTGGGTTGGGCAGGGTAAACGCTCAGGTATCGTCCCCATATCCCATTCCCGCCTACATTTCAGTCGAACCTTGAACTTGCCCAATGAATTGACCACGTCATTTTTCGGTATCATTGTTGGTATCATCCAGGCTGGTCAGGAAACCTTCCCTAAGGACATCACTCCCCAGATCCCCATGTAAAGAAGGAGCATCCTCATGATGATGATGGTGATGCTCGTTACTGATAAAAGCAGTAGTGGCCTGAGCGGTTGCCTTTGATCCGTTGCTGATAGTCCCAATAGTTGTTAAGACTCGTGGCATATTCAGTTGAGAAGTCCTTAAAGGCTTCAACGGTTCCCGTAGAACCATTCTCGGCAATGCAAATCAATAAGGGTTGTCGCCGCCACTGTCCCTAGTTTTTGAGGCGTCACCACTCTTGATGAGTAGTACCATTACAGTTGCTTGGTGCAACCACCCACTTCGGGAGACAAGAGTCTTCCGCGAGCCGAGTGTGTGGGGAGGGTACCACCTTTGGGCGAGCGCTAAAATCAACTTCCGGGCATCCCTGGCCGGAACCTATCGTGCTTCGGTTTGCCCATTGCTTACGCGATTTTCGCTCTCCACCGTCAGATTTCGTTTAGACTTTCCAAATACTCTCCAACACTCACAGAAAGAGGAAATCTACTCAAAAGACTCTTCTGTACGCATTGAGGCCTCTGAAATAACTTAAAAACATCGTTTTTTAGCCGTCTCTCGCCTTGCTCTCTTAGCTCGTTCCTGTCTCGTTCTGAGCAACTCACGTCTCCTGTGGAAATCCGGATCGCCCGGGCCGAGTGGAAATTGCTCGCTTACTCGTGCAAGAGCGCGCGCCCACTCACAACAGACAGTGTCACAAGAGACGGTTTAACGCAAATGCAGTCTCCTCGTGTAAGATACTGCGATTGGTGATTTTGTGATTCTTCTCTTTATATCTTTTACAGTGCGCCTCTTCCGATAAGCGCGCTGTAATTGGCAGTCTGCAAATCTCAAGTAGCTCTTGCAATAAGTGTGGATTCAGAATACGACGTTTTTGTCTACAAACAATGCCTCAAAGCCTTCTCCAAAAAGGCATGCGATATATCTGACATATGATTTCTCAGACTGATCTCGTGGGAGTGTCTGGCGAAGTATCCTCACCATATCATTGTGCGGTTCAAGAGGATCCGCGAGGAGCCTAGACGAACCGCTTCTCCGAAAGCCTATTGCCTTATACACTTTTGCCAGTGGCGTTAGCGGGTGTACCGCATCTACGATGCGTCAACGTCTTGAACTGACGCAGTCAATGCTTCTGCTTCATGATAGTGGGGAGATGCCTGACTTTAGCATTTCCTCTCATGTACATAAGCACATGTTTTGCACTATCTACCGACTGCGCGGCTGGTATTCATTGTTCGGCGAGTCCGTTTGACAGCAATCGGAGACAAAAACGCCTGTAAAGGTAACCCCCCAGTCTCTTGGTGGAGGAAATTTTTTTTCGCGTTACTTTTTTCGGGCGAGCGGGGAGGGACCCGCGCGCCTATATGAGCAATTTTACTCACATCAAAATCCCGCACTTTTCAAGCCGATTTCGAAACTGAGCCTAAGAACCGTCTTGAAAGTGTTACCAATCGACTCGGTTGGTCCTTCTGAGTACAATGGTGCTACTCTCGGGTCAGTTTATAGATTTCCTGACGAGTAATTGGGGATTAAAGATTTTTGTTCATAGTGACCTCGTCATTTAGGTACGGTAGTGCTTGTCAGTTGATCTGGCGCAGTGGTAAGGGCGTGCGCTCTCCACCGGAAGGTCCCGGGTTCGAGTCCCGGGGAGGGACAAGTTGGCTCGTGACCAGTTAATATACTATATGATATAGTTATGTTTTATATGGACAATTTCGTGGCGCGTGAGAAGTATATGCAACCAGTAGTACCATTATTCCACTTGTATATATATAGTCTGTGGGTGTATACGAGTTGGGTGGTAGTACTGAGAATGAGTTGATGTTCGATATAGATAGAGGCAACCGAGTGTAGTTTCGAGGAATGCACTGTAGTAATCACCAGGTTGGAGCTCGTATTAGCAGTCATGCCTGTCCTGTTCATTTTTTTCGGGTGTCATCATTATGTGTATCATGCACAGTTAGTATGGTTTAGTAGGTTAGGATGCACGTCTTTCACTGCGTAGACCCAGGTTCGAATCCGGGTGAATGTACTATTCCTACATTGAGTAAGAGCCGAGATAGGCTTGCTGCACGGTGGCGTGAGTCAGTGAATGGGTTGGAACAGTGGGAACAGTGTCTCAAGGGCCTGGGCAGGCAGTGAACCACCATCCACATTGTCTTATGACTCTGAGATCGGAGCAGCCCATTACACAGTATTACTTTGCATGTCGGTGATAGCCTAACGGTTAGTGCAGTAGACTCGTCTGCGGATGATCCAGGTTCGATTCTCAGCAGCAGACTATAAATATATTTTCTCTGGTCAGCATGAAAACAGCATAGCAGTTAGTAGTATTGAATAAAGTGCGAGTTAGCGTAGTGGTAAGCGCCCAGGTCTGCGCGCAGGTGGTTGCAGGTTCGCATCCCACCGGGTCCGTGCAGGGTCCCCACTTTAGTGGGGTGCACGGACCCCTTCCCACCGGGATCCCTGAAATCCTGTGTGGTTAATCTAAAGAATGCGCGGAAGCGCAAGTTAATAGTAGATCTCAAGTGTCCAGGATAGGGCGTCTAGTAGAGACCGCCCAGCTATCGATCCCGTGATCGATAGCAAAGCGTCGCTTCAACAGCGAGTCAGTAGCAATGTCGGCCCAACATCGTCAGGATATAGGAGTGACGAGTGGGCCGACGACTACTGTGCTTGTGACTCTGACTACTCAGCACAGGAGCCATTAACTTTCCAGTTTAGTTCACCGCCGGTGAACCATCGGCCAGTGTTTACAGTATTTCATATAAATGTCCCTCATTTACGCCGATTTCTCCCGAAAGGGAGTCCTCTACGGGCTAG